TACTTTATGACAAATTAGCAATTTTTTTTTGCTACTAGGGCAGAATTGTTTAAACGTGTAATGTTAGGGAAGCTTAGATCAAAGTAATATTTGCTGTTTCTCTGTTTAGTTTCGGTGTCCTGTGCCGAGTCACAGGAGCTCCTGTTGCATTATCGTGAGCATTTTACTAAGCAAAATCCCAGTCCTATCTTGAGAGGCAAAGGTGGATGAAGTAGTGACATGACACGGAGACATAGGAGGTTGATTTGAGATGAATCAAGGACTTAGTATGGAAAAATTAAAGTCATTAATCCTTCCAAACTTGAAATATTCCTCTTGTTCACTAAAACCATTAGCGGTTGCTCACCCTGAATGTTTTTCTTACGCACTCTGTGATACATAAAACCGCATGCCTCGGTGCTGGTAAGTTAGTGTGCTGGGTTGGTCGGGATGTGCTGTGCACATCAGCACTAACACACACCATTATGCAGCTGCTTCAGCTGCCAGCTTTGGAGGCAAACTGGGGTGATGAACTGTGCATGCCTTTTGCCATCTGCCTACTGTCTGAGCTGTGCCGGGTGTTCTCACTTGACCTGTCCTAAGATGTTTTTGAAGAAATAGTGCCATCGTTTAAAGTCAAGGGAGTTTGATTTCATAGTCTTCAAGAACTCAATTAGACAGTTGTTTATTTTGTTCCACTTGCACGTGTTCTAAAGTTACTCTTTTTTTATTCCATGAACAACAAAAAAAATTTAAAGCTATTAAAGTAAATAAGTATACATTTCCATGTAATCCAGACTTTGTTACTGAAATTTGAGTGTCCTGATTTGTATCTTTACTTTTGCACTGCTTGACTAGTGAGAAATATTTCATTTACCTACTAATGGGTAAAAACATAGTGCTGGATTTTTGCTTTCCTGGTTTGGAGACCCTGTAGAAAAACAGATGAGTTTTCAAAGTAGTGAGCTAGAGGCATATGTGGAAATTCTATTGACATATTCAGTACTATTTGTGCTATGCAGAATGTGGTCTTTGTAAGTGAACCTGCTTTGGTGATCTAGACTCTTGCAATGTTAAGACTGAACACAGCATCATGAAAAGACCAGGAGATGCCTTTTTGTTGTTGCTTTGGTTTTTTTTTTTTTTTTTGTTGTTGTTGTTGTTGTTGTTGTTGTTGTTTTAAGAATTATTATATATGGCCCTGGTCTCCTGCCCTTACTCTTTAAGAAATAGCACTTAGGAGCAAACCCACTGAAGGAGTGACCAGTGAGCTGGTCACTGCACTGGAGTGCAGCTCAACAGAAATAAGAATAGCAAAATCAAATCCATGATTTTTTTTTTTTTTCTCTTCACAGGCATCGTAAAGTATCCAAAATGGGAAAAGAATATATTTGGCCTTTTCAATAGGAAAATACCCAATAGTGAAGTGATCAAGTTAGTAATATATGTTTGATGGTTTCATTTAATCTGGCAATGACAATGTTTAAAATCCATGTTTATATGTTTAACCTCTGCTGGGGGAGAGGGAAAAAAAAAAAAAGTTAAAACTCCTTCTCCTTTGAGCTACAGTTGCTCAGATTACCTCAGGAAATGCTGAAGTTTATGCTGCTGGAATACTACTTTGTTGAGCAGTCTAACTAATCGTAAAACCCAGTCATCAGACAACCGAAAGAAAGGCAAAAATGAGACTGATTCTTGGAAGAGCATCTGTTACTGGCACAGGAACTGGATCAGCAATGAATTCTGAATCCGTCTGTATCTTTGAGTTATGATGGTGGTTTGTCACACTGGGATAATGTGCTTTGTTATTAGTAGAAGTAATTCTCCCTTGATCCTGGAGACCCTTTGAATGCATTTTAAGCATGTCACGATGGTTTGTTATTATAATGTCCTGGCAGTAAAATTGGAAAGTATAGTGCATGCACCTCTGAATATTTATAAGGATTTTATGTTTTCCATTTTTCTGCTTAAAAATGCATTATCACAAATTACAGTTGTGGCTTCACCCTAAATTTTGAGAAGATATATTGGAGTTGAATCATGTGCTGATCCTGTAAGGCACTTTGACTTAAATCTCATTTTTGCTCTGACAGATAGGACCATTAAATACCCAGCTTGAGTGCCAGACATCTTTCCTACTAAATCTATTCCGAAAGGCCGAAAGTTATGAAGGTATCTCAAAGTTTATAAGTTTGGTTTTACTGAACTGCTGGCTTCGTTAGCTTCTATAAAAAGCATACGTGCTTTTTAAAAAATGTCCATTGGTGTGTAGCAAATTGTCCTTGGTAGTTGAAGTACTTCAGTTTACTACAGCCTTGCTACTTACAAGCTCACTACAATTCTAGAATTTAGTGTATTAATAATAATTTATCCATTTTTAATTAGTCACTGTTTGTTTTCATATTGGAACACCCTTCTTTACAAGTAGCTTTCTGTGTTTTGCAAACATTATGGCCACTGAGATATTTTAGAATACTGAGGAACTTTTGTCTTCACCTCGGAAAAGGTGAAAGTATTTTTCCTCCTGCTCAGAAATAGTTAAGATGTTGGAAAGCATCAGACAAAAAGATCACATCACTGCCAACACAGCACTTGTTTCTCAGTCCTGATAAAGTTGATAATAATGATGTCGAGTGAAAAAGGAGAGAAACATCATAATGATGCTTTGAATATAAAGCAATCATTGCCTATTTACCTGAATGGAGACTCTCCTGTTCTTACAGTTGTTCCCTGTGAGAATAGTAGAGAGCTTTAATGTAAAGTGAAGTGAGCAGATGGAACGAGAAAAATGAAGAGGATATGAAAAAGATCAGGGGGGAAAAAAAATTAATACATCTTTTATTGAATAACCCGTTTTGAATAGACTACATGAATATACCAGTTGGCATACTGTATTTGACATAAAAATCTGTTTTGAGTTTCTGCTGTTTTTTTAGAAACATGTCTGAAAACATATTTTGAGCACTTGAGAAGACTTCTCAACATGGCAAGACTTGTGTACTGTAGATACTTATTCTCTTATTTCCTTGTGATAAATACTTGTCGCTAATATATTTCATGCTATGAAATATATTATGAAATGAAATATTTTATTAGTATTTTATTATTTGTCAAAGGAGGGGAAGAGGAATTTCTAGTATAGACCCTCCTACAGCGGAGGAGGAAGTAGAGCTTCCAAGTGCTTCCCCCCCTCGCCCCAACAAGCAAACAACTTTGGCAAATCTTTCGAGTAAGTGCCTGCTAATCTTCTACTTTGTCAGGGCAATGTGAAGAACTGTACGTGTGATGGAGGGTCATTTATTTAAAGCTGAACTGAGACTTCTGTCTTTCCCTGAGTTTTATAGTTGTATGAACTATACTCTAAATGAGTAAATTAGGCTAAATATATTCAGGAGGACATAAATGCGTACTGCTTACACTTAAATTATTTTTAATATTAAATCAGTTATGTCCAACAGTATTAAAGCATAATTACATTTACTTATTTCATCTATTATGTGGTTGAAAGCACCTAGTCTCTCAGTCCTGAAATTATAATCTCAGGCTATAGTTTGTATGTAGTTATATAACCCCAGTTTATAGTTTGGATACACAATTTATGAGGTAACAGACCTTCTGTCATCAACCACACTGCTTCTTGTTTTAGAAGTTAAATTGTTGTGTATTTCTGTTCACATCATCTAGACCAGAGATTTCAGAATGCTCTGAAGCTTAACTGATTTATTTATTTTTTTATCTTCATTTATAAATCCTTAAATTGGCTCAAAACAGAGAATGAATAACTATCAGTCGCTCATGCAACAATTGGAAATAACAATTTTGGATCGTTATGAACATTCCCTAGAGAGATACAGTTTGCATGAAGTGCTGAGACTGAAGTCATTCTCAAATGAAGCTATTTTTGATGTTCGGATAAGCTTTTGCTGTAGTAGAAGATGGCATCTCTACCTTATCATTCTTTCTAGCCATACTACTACCTTAAGTAATGACAGTTACACATGAATGTGGATGGGGATTTCTGTAGAAATATACAGAGTATTTGAAAATTGTGTATGATCTATCTGTTACCAAAGACTTATTTTAGCAGTCAGAAGAGAATATGTTTAAAGACAGCTAGTCTCACCCATAAGAGTTAAGTGATAAAAATATACTTGTCTTGAGGAAGGTAGATCCAAAATGCTTTATTTCTGGACAGAGCATTGTGTTTTCTTGTTTCATGTAGCTTAGAAAAATGGTATTTGGCAATAGCTTGCAAATTAACCTGACTTTAGAATTTTCTAGCAAAGGATATTTTACCGAAGAGCTGTGATCAGATAGAAAATGGTTGTTTCGTAGATACCTATCATGGGCCCCAATGCTCTTAAGATTTGCATTTTAGGGCTTTGGCCCTGTTTGTTTTATCTGGGCAGTTATTTGAATAGAATGTCTCTGCAGCCTATTCGAAATGCAGCTTTCTTCACTATTTGCAAAGATAACTTGATCTGTTGTAATAATATATTTTTTTTTTTTCCAAATTTACCTCCAGATTTCTAAATATTATTACTGGTCAAATCGTGTGTGTCATAACATTGCTGAATACTCAAAACAACTCCACTAATTAAGGGAAGTTACCATAGTTTTAAACAGGAAATCTGAAAATGAAGTTTGACATGTCCTGAATATATGTTTCTAAAATCACAGCAAGGGACACTGAGTTTTGAGATGCAACTTGCTGTTTTTCAGTGACATTGTGCATGGTAAAGACCATGTAATTTGAGAAAACTTGGTCCTCAAAATGGTATTAGTAATGCTACATACACAGTGAACGGGGAAGAGGTAAAACATTTATACAATCACTGCAAAGTACCTGACACATTTTTACCTATGTCTCAAACTCTTCAGTCAGTAGCTTTTAGTCTATACTTTCTGACCTTCCTTTATGCTAAAGGTACATGCTGAAGCCCTTTTGACAGCCTGCTAAATCTGAAAGAGGGTCATTAACTTGGTGCTTTCATTATTCTTCTATTTCTGTGTATTTTCAGGAATTATATACTTGATCTCCGCTCTTAGTCACCTGGAAGGCTCTGCGTTCGTTCTGACTGTTTCTGCCCAAGATGGGGGTGGTCTTTCCTCTGCTGTTAATGCAGCAATCACAGTAAACATCCTTCAGGCCACTTTGGCACCAGCCGTATTTGAGAAATCTCGGTATGCTTTTTCTGTTCCTGAAGATATACCTGAAGGCAGCCCAGTTGGAACTGTAAAGGCCCAAGAACCTTTAAGTAAGTTTTATAGTCAAAGATTAAAAATATTTTAATTGTAGCCATAGGCTGGAAACATCTGCAGATAATTTTTTGAACTTTATATTATTTATTTAGTATGTTGAACATAAATAGCATTTATTGAAAGTATTTACAGCAACTGCTGTAATAACTGCTATATCAGGAATCTCTTTAGAACAGACTTCCCAAAGGGGAGATTACTGGAATCCATCTTGGTGGCCCATGGGGAAGAGAAATTGCCCCTGTTGTGTTATTTCTGATTTACTTTGCAGGATAGTTAAATAAATAAATAAATACCGTAAGTAGTCTCCTTGCATGTGTTTTGCATGCAAGCATCTGTGTGCAAGATGGATTTGTGTGATTGTGAATGGCGAGATGGGCAATGCCCTGCGAAAGTG